GAGAGAGATTTTCTCCCTCTTCTTCTTCTTCTTTTTCTTCTTCTTCTTCTTCTTCTTCTTCTTCTTTTTCTTCTTCTTCTTCTTATTATTATTATTTTTCTTCTTCTTCTTCTTCTTCTTCTTCTTCTTCTTCTTCTTCTTCTTTGCGCGGGCCCGCGGCGCACGATCGCAGGCGGTCGCCGCCTCTGCGATGCCATCGCCCAGCGCGCGGTCGTCGGCGCTACTCAGCGGGCACCATCGCCGCGTGACCTTTTTCCGCGCGCGGCGATTTTAGTGCCCGGCCGCGGCCGATTGCGGCCGATCGCTGTCGATGGAGGCCGATTGCGGCCGATCGAGGCCGATCGGGGCCGAACTACATAGATCGCGGCCGGGTACTCCAACGGCCTGAAGGGGCCGAGAACGGCCAGGTCCGGCCGGGTCAAGGAGGGCTGCGACATCGGGGCCCGCGGAGGCTGCAGCGGCGTCAGGGCCATTCATCGACGGAGCGCCAGGAACGACGACATCGACGGACGACACGACAACTGCGACCCTTTGAGTCAGGGGACGATGACGAGGGGTGCGGGGACCAGCGGTACGGGGGGGTCTGCGAGTGGGGGGTTCATCACGCAGTCTGAGAGGGAGATGGCGAAGTTGAGGCGTGGGAACTTGGTGTGGGACTTCGTCACCGCGGGACAGCATGTGGGGAACCAGGCGAAGATGCATGGGGACCGAAAGTTGCGTTGCAACTTTTGCGGCCACTTGTTTCAGGGGAATGCGGGGAAGGCCGTGCACCATTTCACGCAGGCGAAGTACTGCAAGGCTGTGGGGATGAGAGTTCCCGCTGAAATATGGAACGACACGGACTACACATTCAAGCCCGCGACTTCTCGGCGGGTGCAGAGGTGGATGGCTGACGAGGGGGTACGGGACATGAGAGCGGCTGCGGGTGGGCAGCAACAGCGGATGGACGAGGGAGAGAGGGACGAGATTCAGGACGCCCTCGATCAGGAGGAGGGTCTCGAGGGTGGGGTTGGGGAGGGGGGGACGGTTGACGAGGCAGTGCGAGACCCTGACCTGCCAGGGGAGGAGGTGGTGATGACGTCGAGAGGCGTCGGTCGAGTGGGTCCCGCTCCTAGGACCCCTGCAACGAGTGGACCGACGATGATGACGCGCCCGTCAGTGGTGACGAGACGGCAGAGCGGGTGTACTTCACTTACGGTGGAGGACCTGACGGCATGGGTTCACACACATCGGTCATCACTGATGATGTGCCGTCGACCGGACAGGCCAGTGCGACCGATGTGTTGGAGCAGGAGCCACAGGGAGGCCTTTGGACGACGGGCAGGAGCTGGGAGGTTAGGAGCGACAACGAGCACGAGAGGGAGGCCGAGGAGGAGGAGGTGCCCCGTCAGGATCGTCACTACTCTCCCTCCCATCATCGAACCACTGCACCGCCCGAGGCACTTAGGCGTTCGGAGAGGTTAGCGTCAACAGCAGGGAGAAAGCAGACCCATGACAGCAAGGAGCGTGAGGGGGAGATGATTCCTTCGGGCTCCGGTATCCGCCCCCGCTCATCGTCGGAGCTGCGTACATACGACTTTGACGTCGGACACACAGGTGGGGGCTTGGGGGATTTCAGCGCCCCGGAACGTCGACATGCCTCACCGTCGGAGGTGCATACCGACGACTTCGATTTGCGGGGCCGTGTTGAGACCGAGGAGGAGCGGGATGCCCGCCTGGACCGAGAGGAGGAGGATCGGCTGCGGACTTTGCCAGGATGGGAGGATCGAGTCGCGTTCCTAGAGGAGCAGCGTCGATAGAGGGATTTGGAGACAGGAGGGTGGGGCGGCTTTGACGCCGACGACGGGGGTGTCCCTAGGGAGCCAGTTCAGGCAGACTTGCGAGAGGGTGGACCCGGTGACGATATGGACGTGGGTGGCGATGGCGAGAGTGACACATCGGGTGACGGGGGACGGGATGTCGCCGCGGGCGGACGATCTCCCCTTGGTGGAGGCGGTGGCGACGGCGAGACCGCGGGTGATGAGGGACAGGGTGTCGCCGTGTGTGGCGGGGGAGAGGGTGGACCCGGTGGAGATGGGGATACCGCAGCTGACGAGGGACAGGGTGCCGCCGCGGGTGGTGGGGGAGACAAATGACCCGACAGAGATGACGACGACGACGACGATCGCGAGGACGATGCATATAGGCTCGCCTTGGTCTTGAGGGACCCCATAGTCCCCCCCCTGCGGCCTGACGACCAAGCGCACGCTTTCTTCCACGCCGACGCTTTGGCGCAGGCGCTAACAGAGGACCCTTTCTCACATACGGGCTGAGGGAGTGGCGAGAGACGGCCCGCTGAGGGGGCATATTCACCATCGCCGTATGTAGTGCAGAGCCCTCGATGGTCCGGTTCGTCGCTCAGTGGCGTGAGAGGGAGGGAGTCCGGGGCGGTTGAGGTCGGGTCGGGCCGACGCAGTGACGGCGGCGGATGTGCAGGATCGATGCCTCCACCACCCGCACAAGCCGCAGAGGCGGGCGTCGACGCCGACGACGAGACACCGGCACCCGGAGCTGCGCACAGCGGCGCTTCCCGCCGTCGGTCCGAGGCGGTGTCGGCGGCGGATGGTCAGCTCATCGACGGGTCGGGGACCGCTTGAGGGCAGATTATGACGCCGGGAGGGGCGTCTTCGCGGGACGTTTGCCAGCTCAGACGCTGCGGGGGCTGGGTCCGGACGTCCGAGCCTTCACATGGCAGGCCGCATGCTCGGTTTGTCACGAGCGGCGACGAGGAGATCATTGGTCCTCCAGGCCGCAGGGACATTGACGGACATGCAGCAGGGACAGCTGCACACATCGGGTGAGGAGGGGTTGTTGATGCGTCCCGGGACGAGACGACACTGCGGCATCACAGAGGTGGAGACTCGACTCGCAGCAGAGGTCGCCGCCGGCCAGACAGCGTTGGTCGTGATTCAGAGGCAGCGAGATACGGTTGCTGCACAAGTGGTAGAGGATGAGGACGCAGACACAGAGTCCGAGCCGCTCGAGAGTGTGGTCCGCAGATGCAGAGCAGTCGTGGCCGCGGCAGCCGCTGCAGCACAGGCGGCATACAACAGTGGTGTGGAGGGCACAGGTGCCGGAGGGAGAGGAGGGCGCCTGGGAGGACAGCACGACCGATCGTCCTCCGGGAGAGGCCGCACGCGTCCTCCTACAGGGAGGGGCACGGGCCGCTCTTCTGGGAGCAGATGACGTTGTCAGTGGTGTTTTTTTTGTTTTATTACTTTTTTTTTTTTTGGCTGGACTTTTTTTTGGCAGGGAAGTTCCATATTTATGTTCATGTTGTTCCATGGAGATGACGACGTTATGTGGGCGTTAGGGTTTTGGTTTTTTTTTTTTTAGCTGCTCGGTGTTACGGTAGAGACGATGGCGTCGAGGGGTAGGGTTTTTGGCTTTGGCCTTGTACATATGCATTTCCACTGAAATGCTTTGTCACTGAGTTGTGAATTTCATATGCCAAACAGGGATGATATGCTAATGAATGTGTTGTTTCACGAACTTTCACCAGCCTCATGAATGAACACACACTGTGACACAATTGCCTGTTGACATTGTTTAGAACTTATGGTTGCCGGCATTGTGATTCATTGTGAATGTTTTGTGACTTTGGTATGTGAAATAGGGTCTGACCTATGATTCCTATGAATGTGTTGTTTCAAAAAATTTCACGAACTTTCGACACCCTAACGAATGAAATTGACGCCTGCCTGAGGCCCTGAGCTGCCTGGGGTCTGCCATCCGCACCCCCGCCCAGCCCCCACCTGACCCGCCCACCCTGCCCGCCTGTGCCGGACCCGCCGGGATGGTGGTCCGACAGGATGGAGACGAAGGGTGGACGACGGAGGAGATGGAGATGGAGCTGGAAGGGACAGCGCAGCTCCGACGCGGACTCAACACGCACGTACTCCAAGATCTGTCAAAAGTGAAGAATCCTGAAAAACAGACAACTGCTGGGGTATACCCCCAGCGGACTGACTGACTGGACTGGACTGGCCTGGTACTGACCGTGGTACCGGGCATGACTAAAACAATACACGGCCTGTGGGGTCAGGCCACGACCTGGTCCCACAGGCCGAACTGGGCAAATAGCCAAATAGGCCCTGGCTGTAGGCCAGGGTAGATGACGGCCCGCTGCACGATCCTCAGACCTGTAATGGATCGCAAGAGCCATAAACACGCTATCCGCACAAGCAGCGGAAGTCTGCAATAAAGAAAGCTGAGAAATCTAGGATGCGGAGCAAGCTCCATGTGGAGTCCATGCGATGCATCCTAAGCTACATAATGTCAAAAGAAAAGCAAATGTCTAGTATACATATCCTAGCTAACAGCAGAAAATGAAATGTAGTATGATACAATCCTAAAGTCCTCGAGGCAGTGGCCTCGGTGCTGAAAGGAAAAGAGCAATATGTCACAAGATAATGTCATGTCGCTGAACCATTAAGAGTGGGATGGTCTCAGAGGGGGTGAATGCAACCTAAGAATCGAAACTCCTGAGGGCAGTCACACATGAAGGTGGGATAGGTCATCAGGCTTAAGGTGGGAGAGTGGTAGCGAAACAAAACCAATGACCCTAACAAATAGACCATCAAAGCGGGTAATGCTCGACAAAAGGGTGACACCATGCAGAGTCGACCATGAAAAGGGGAGCCTGGAATAGGGTGGAACTATGCCGAACTGGAGGCATGCAATAGCCGGCGCTAGGGTGATGAGGGCAGTGGGTGAGGGAAACATGCACACAACTCACCGACTGGGAGAGGGAGCTAGATCTGGGAGCAAGGAAGCCAAGATAACGCTACGGTCCCAATGCCTATGCGATACCAAGGGAGAGCGAAACTCAAAGAGACCCAGCTACGTGAGAACCATCATGCGACAGAGGAAAGGGAGTATACAGGGTAGGGTGGTGGCGTGAAGTAGTCACGTCCAAAGTAGCAGAAGTCGTCGAAGTGGTCGATGACGTCGATGAAGTAGCAGTCGAGTCGATATCGAAGCAGGGCCGCAAAACGCTGGCATCCTCAAAAAGAGTTGATGATGGAGTACCTGATGGTGTGAGTCGGTGGGGAAAGATAGAGGATAAGAGTGTCAGTCATCGTAACGCGAAGGGCGACGATGAGTGCGTTGTGGACGCTCGGAGGCGACCGTCTGCGGCTGAGGAACGGCCTCAGAGGGAGCGGGTTCGTCCTCAGCAATCTCCTCAGCCGGAGGAGGAGGAAGAGGGTTAGTCGGCTGAGTAGAAGCAGATGTCTCAGCACGACGAGCACGATCATGTACACGCACCAATATCCTGGCGTGCTGCAAGTGCTCGAGGTGCTCCCAAGTAGCCTCCTCATCAGGGTAGCCCTTCCAACGCACAAGGTACTCGATGCGTGGAGGGGCATCGTCGATAACTCGGCGTGATACGATGTCGGAAACAATGAACTCCTCGTGACCGTCCACCATGATAGGTGGAGGGTGCTCGTAAGAGCGTCCGGCGAAGCGCTCGGACGGTCTGCGATAAGGACGCAGCAAGGAGACGTGGTAAACATCGTGTACGCGAGCTTGTCGAAGGTAATCAGGTAGCTTCATACAGGAGCTAACCGGACTAGCGACAGTATCCGAACCGACGGCCTGAAGGATGCGGCATGGACCGAAGAAACGACGCCTGAACTTGCGAAGCGTATCTGCTTCGAGCTGTAAGTGGCGTGCGTCGACGAGCACATCGTCACCGACTTTCAATGGATGATCCATTCGTGATCGGTTCGCTCGTGCGGCCATGTGAGTCTGGGAGTCGGCTAAACTCTCGTGTGCGCGCTTCATAATCGCCGCCATGTGGGCGATCCAGTCGTCAAGCGCAGGGCAACGAGTGTCTGGGCGCAACTGCGATGGTCGTAGGAAATCCGCGGGTACGCGAGGGTGGTAGCCGAGGTCGCAATATAATAGCGACATCCCCGTGGCTGGCGAAACAGCGTGATTGTACGCAATCTTCGCGTGGGCTAAGTGTAAGTCTTACTGCTGGTCATCCTTAACAAACTTTCGGAGGATATTACCGAGAGTTTTGTTGGTGACCTCGGTCTGACCATCCGTCTGAGGGTGGTAAGACGATGAGAAGCGGAGCTGGGATCCGTACACCTCATGTAGGCGTCGCCAAAATGTGCTGGTAAAGCGCGGGTCACGGTCGGAGATGATGCTCTGAGGTAAGCCGTGATCTCTCACGACTTGGTTGAAGACGATTCCAGCGACCTCACGAGTGCTAATGCGATAACAGCACGGGACAAAACGTGCACGCTTCGTGAAGCGATCGACGACGACCAAGATAGCATCATGATCGCGCTCAGTGGGTAGGCGGAGGGGACCAATGAAATCCATCGAGATGGACTGCCAACGACCCTCAGGTATGGGTAGGGGCTAAAGTAACCCATTCGGAAGGTGGTTCACATTGTTCACCTCCTGGCAGGTAGGACACTCCTGGATATAGGCTTTGACAAAGTCCTTGGACTTCGGCCACACGTATAGGCGGCAAACACGAGCCAACGTCTTGTGGAAACCCATATGACCGGCAGTTGCCTGGTCATGGAACTCTGCTACAGCTTGGACGCGGAGCTGTCCAGTGAAGGGAACGCAGATACGTGGTTCTAGCTGACCAGATCTACCATGCCAGTACACAAGGTCGTTCTCCCCGAGGGAGTAGGAAGGAACGGTCTTGCCACTCTGTAGTGTCGCGTGGATGACGCGATAATCGGGGCAGTGGCGGTACTGAGTGAGATACGCGTCGACCACCGACTGATCAACGGTGGTGATGGAAATCGGTTACTTATTGTGATCAAGATGGATGGGTTACTTATTGTGATCAGGACGGCGGGACAAGGCATCGGTGACGCGGTTCGTTTCACCCTTGATGGGCTGAGTGGTAAAACTGAACTCGGATAAGTCACGCCACCAGCGTGCCTGTCGAGGGGAAAGCTTAGGCTTCGTGAGGAAAGCCTGGACAACTGAGTTGTCCGTGCGCACCGTGAAGGGCGCCCCGTGCAAATAATGACGCCAATGCCGGGTAGCATAAACTACTGTGAGAACCTCACGATCATCGGCAGTGTAGTTTATCTCGACAGGCAGTAGCTGACAGGAGTAGAAAGCGATCGGGCAATCCCCAGCACGAGCCTCAACAGTCCCATCCTCCGCGATGGTCGGGGAGTAAGTAACAGGAGGACTGTCAGTGGAGGGAAGTGGTGGGAGAATAGGCGTCAGTCGAGAAGCAGTGTCAGCAGGAAGGGGAGGGAAAGGAGGAACATGGGGGTAAGGTGAATCTGGAGGAGAGGGAAATACCTGAGAAAGGACAACTCCTACTGCAAAATCTGACGCATCGGTGGTGACGATAAAGGGACGATCAAAATCGGGAAGGCGAAGAACCGGCGCACAGGTTACCGCCTTCTTGAGGGTGTGAAAGGCGTCCTCGCACAGGGGTGTCCAAAACCACGGCGGGTTCTTCCGGAGGAGGGTAGAGGTAAGGACGTAGGAATACCTAGCGTATCCCTGGATAAAATTACTATAGTAGCTGGTGAGGCCTAGAAAACTGCGAAGCTGCTTATCAGAAGTGGGGACGGGCCACTCTGCAATAGCAGTGATCTTCGCGTCGTCCATGTGGAGAACTTGGTCAGACACATGGTGTCCTAGGAAGTTCACTTTGCGCTGGGCAAAGAGGCACTTACTAAGCTTGGCATAGAAGTCATGCTTGCGTAAGCGCTGTAGGACATCGCGGAGGTGTCTAAGGTGGTTTTCTAAGGTACGACTGTAGACCAGGATGTCATCCAGGTATACGAGAACGTATTCCTCAAGGATGTCCCTGAAGATATCATTCATCGCCATTTGGAAGGTGGCGGGTGCATTGGTGAGGCCGAATGGCATCACCGTGAACTCGTAGTGGCCGAAGCGCGATCGAAAGGCGGTCTTCGGCACGGGGCATGGGATAGATGTTCTTAACCGTGTAACGGTTAAGACCACGGTAGTCGATGCAGAGGCGGAGAGTTCTGTCCGCTTTGCGAGCAAAGAGGACAAGTGCACCCCAAGGGGAGTTACTGGGTTTAATGAGACCCGGTCAAAGGAGTTCCTCAAGCTAACGCTTGAGTTCCGTCGCCTCTGGAATCGAGAGTCGGTACGGTGCTTGATGGTGAACACGATAGTCATGCATGAGCTGGATAGAATGCTAAGCACTGCGCATCGGGGGAATCCCATTGTATGAGAAATACGGGGGAAAGACGTCGCGGTACTCTCGAATCAGGTCGCGAACCACCGGCTCTAAGTCAGCCGTGAATAGTGTGAGTTCCTCAGCGTCTGCGTCGGCACGAGACGTATGTGTGGACTCGACAGTCGACGGCGCAGGGGCCAAAGACGTGGAGGGGGTATCCGCAGGCCGATGAGAAGATGTAGAGATGGGAGCCGCGAAGATGGAAGGAGGGTCAGAGGGATCGGGTTCCAGAGAGATGACCTCAACCTCGGGACAGAGTGGATCCTAGCGAAGAAGATCCA